AAAACATAAATTTTAACATAAAAATTTAAAATGAAAAAAATTTCCCTTTTTTTTGGGGGGCTTTCACACACTTCAGGTTTATTAAAACAAAAAATTTTTAAATTTAAAATAAATATTACGGTAATAAAAATATTATTAATAATAATAATACGTCGTGATTTTCATTATTATCATCATCATCGTCCATTTTTTTTTTATAATTAAATATTATTATGTATCTCGATCGATTTGTTGTATTATTTAATAAAATTTTATCGATTTGGTTATTATTATTAATAAATAAATAAATAAATTCTTTAAAATATTTTTCGTATCGTAAAATAATAATAATAATAATAATATTTTTTATATTGTTTATTATTTCTTAAAAAAAAGTTTATTAAATTATATTAAATTTTTTTAATGACTTTCATAACTATTCATATTTTAATTAAGCAGAAGATAAAACAAAAATCCAAGTTTTTTTTTTTTTTTTTTTTACTACTTTTCTATCCAAATAAAAAAAAAAGAATAAAAAAAAAAAAATTTTCCTATTCCCAACGTAAATAATGATGATGATGATGATGATAATAATATTTAATTTTTTTGTTAAAGACAATTCATTACCTCGTGACTTTACCCTCCTCCTCCTCCTCCCCCCCCCTAAAAAAAATCCTTTTAAATATTTAAAAAAAAAAAAAAAAAAAAGAGAGAAGAATGAATGAATGAAGAGGAAAAACATTTTGTGAAAAGCTCACGTTTTTAAAATATATAAAAAAAAAAAAGGACCCGAAATGAAAAATCCCGAATCATTTAAAAAAACATTACAAAAAAAAGAAAAAAAGTAATTACGATTTTATATGGAGTTTTCCTAAAAAAGAAAAAAAAAATTTTCCACTTTTTCACCCAAAAAAAAAAAAAAAATTTCTTCTTCTCTTTAAAATATCTATTAAATGTTTTTTTAACGTTAATTTTTTTTTTTTATAAATATATATTTAATGTTTAATGTTAATAATACTTTTTTTCATTTTGTTTTTTTTTTTTTTTTTTTCCATGTGAAAATTTAAAGAAAAATAAAATTGGAAAATGATAGCGACAAAATTTTTAGGAATTTTAGCTGCTTCGTATTTTATCGTCGTAAGAGAAACAATCGCACAAAATTTTTATCCTGCAAGATATGGGAAAAGGGATGAAAGCGGTAATTTTTAATAAAATCATCATCATCATTATTATTTATTTATTTTTCTTCTACGTATACATAAGTTATTGACTAATTGTTTTTTTTTTTTTTTTAAATAGATTTTCAAGGGGATGGATTAATTCAAGGTAAAAGATTGGATAGAAACGATGATCAAAATGCCATAAACGATAGGAAAATTCGATTTTTTATTTCCGGTGGTAGATACGGTAAACGTGGATGTACTTCCGGTAAATGTTTCGATGGTAAATAAATTTTTTTTTCTTTTTATTATAATTAACAACGCATTTAATTAAAAAACTTTTTCTTTTTTTCTTTTTTTTTTTTTAAATGGAAACCGCAATAGTATGTGTTTTCTCTCTCTCTCTCTCTCTCTCTCTCTCTATCTCTCTCTTTTCTTCTTTTTAATTTTAAAGACTTTATTAACCGATCACGTTTATTTTTTTTTTTTTTTTTTTTTTATATTTTAATTAATAAAAACGTTTTAATTTTTTTTTTTTTCAGGATCAAAAGAAGTTGTAAGTGGTGAATATCAAAACGATCAAGAAAGAAATAATAATAATAATAATAATAATAATAGAATAATAAATATACCAATGAGAAAAAATCCATTCATGGTAGGAAGTAGATTTGGTAAAAGAATTGTAAATCCAAATGGTAATTTTTTTTTTATTAATTTATTTATTAATTGTTATTGTTTTATTATTACACTGATTGTTGTTGTTGTTGTTGTTTTTGTAGATTTAACAACGGAAAAAACAACCTGGTGTATTTTTATAAGAATAAATGATAGTTTTAAATGTTTAACTAAAACAGAATTGGATGAAGAACAAATGAAATTTTTTGATTCATCATTTCCATTAATGGTTTAATACACAATGAAATTTAATGTGACAATTATTTATTTATTTATTTTTTATTTTTTAATAATAATAATAATAATAAAACATACATTAATTAATAATTATTTTTATTTAATTATATTTATTCTATTTTGAAAAAAAAAAAAAAAAAAAAAAAA